GGAACTGATGTTCTTTGAGATGTGTTATTCATGACTGTTCAACCTCCCACCTTCCTTCCCCACTGTCAGTCTCCTGGCAAAAGGAACTGAGGAGGGAGGGGCCTGGGAGTGCTCTGTATGGTGTGGCATGTGGTCATCACTTCAGGGGGTGCTGAGATCCAGGCCCCTTCAGGTACTGCTGAGGGAAAAATCTTATGGCACCTGTGCATGTGGCGAGCACACGCACCTACGTTGAATGGACACGAGCAACATATCTCAAATAAGTTGAAGTTGATACAGTTTAAAGTGAGAATCCTCTTCCCCATGTCCTTACATAAAATTACATTAAATAATCTAATAGTGATAGCCTATAAGAAAATGGCTCATGATTTTGTCAATCTTATTACAGGAATGATATCAAAGAATTGTAAAGAAGTGAGGAACAGTGTAGCCCTTAGGGCAAGTTTCCCTCATGATATTTATCCCATTATATGCACTGTCTTGACTTCTTTTCTGTGCTGTTATTAATGCAAGAAAACTACAAGCCTGTATCCTGTAAGATATTAACTGGAGCATAAATTAGTGTAAGTGTGGTTAAGTAGTCCATCTCACATAGCACACATCTGGGGTTACTTTTAGATTTTGGGAACTAAGAAGAGTTTGTTCAATTGTAGGAGTTGAAATGTTCCAGTAAGTGTTCTCACAAGGAATATGGAATAATCGCAAATCCACATAAGCAGGAGGATGGTATGATCAAGTGCTGAAATGGTAGTCCTACATATAAGTGTGTTAATATATAGAATTACATACACCTCAGAATTATACTAGTAAAGATGCTACGTATGGGCATGGAGGACTGAACCTTGTAATTAGGAAGGTACCGTGGTCTTTCCTGGGTGTCTTCCATTGCTGTCTACTTTTTTTCTACTTGACCCTTTAACTCATTGAGGGACTTGTACCTTTGGGCACTTCATACCAGAAACAGAGTTGGTTCTTTTAAAGAAAATTACAACCAAGTCATCAATTTATGTTGTGAGCATGCAATTCTAAAGCTTATACATAGAATGATACCGCACATTACCCTGATCCTGCATTATATTTATTTTGCTGTATGACTTGGATTATTTCTATTTTTCACCATTATTTTACTAAAGGCATATAAGGTTTATTTTTCCCCTTAACGCGAGTAGTCTTGTTACCTCCTCTGAAATGCCCCACAAAATATTGAATTCCATAATGTGAATTCTGTGTAGCGTGTTTCTGGGGGGAAGAATTTTATTGCAGTCAGATCAATTGATTATTAATCTAAACATTAACCTTAAAAAGGGTCAGGCAACAATAGGAGTCAGTGTCTGAAGCTTATACTTGTATATTGAACAAAGTTTATAGCGGTTGGTGGGGGGAGGAGATTGAAGGACGTGGAAATGGTAGGTGATTTTCATGAGAATTGAAAATCCTAAAGGGACTTTAAACAGACGTGAAAGTAATATATGCATGGAGTATGATTTCTAAAGAGAGAAGTTTTTGACTACCTAGATATGGAAGCTTTGAACTCCTATAGGTGGATTCTAAAAGTCCACCAATACACTAGCAGTACCTGTTGAATGTCCCTACTAACCATGCAGAAAGAAGCATTGAACACATGAATTATTGACACTTTACTCTTTAGTAGCTCCCCTGATATCCAGTCCTACTGCTAATTGCTGGCTGGCTCCTGCTCTGTGACAAATGTTACATCAATCAGAGAATTGTGAAAGCCATATGAAGTAGCAACAAAGAACACCTATTTGACCCTTTATGAACCATTTCCTCTTCTCATTGGTGTTCTGCAGCTGTATTGACGTGTGTAAATGGAAAGTGTTAGTATCAGTGCTAGACTTCACTGGACCATGAGAAAATTGTTAAAAAAAATGTCCAGTGTGTAGACTGTCCATAGACTATACTGGAAGCATTTTAGTACACCTTACCAGATACTCTTGTGTCATTATAATTCCATTTGTAAGCAAGTGTTTAAAAGACTAAAAAACATCTAAGGGAAAAAATACAGTGTGTGAACTACAGTGGTAGGTAGCAGGATCAATATAAGAATGTATAGCTCCCTTCTTTCATATGTAATTTTAAGGAAGAAGAAAATTTCCTTCTGCTTAAGTTGACTTGTGGTTTTAATAGACAAGTAAAGTATATTAACTTCCTGTATTTGTGAGGCATGTTAAATAATAACCTGAATGTTGATATTTTTGCTCTGAGGCTAATGAGCATATATTTTGAGAACGAAGTCTTCATACATAAATGTGCATGCTCTAAGATAGATATATGTTGAATGGTTCTTCTTGGCAGTACAGAAAGGAAAATAGGTCAGGAGAAG